AAACTTATATCAGAAATTGCCAAGGTGATGGCAATCGAAAAAAGCAACTGTCACGCGTGGACTGACTCTACAGTTGTCCTGGCTTGGCTAAACAACCACCCAAACAAATGGAATGTATTTGTAGCCAATAGAGTTTCAGAAATTCTTACCAGTTTAGAGCCACAAAATTGGTTACATGTAACATCAAAGCAAAATCCAGCAGATTGTGGATCCAGAGGTGTTAATCCTTCTGAATTAGTTAATAATGAACTGTGGTTTCGTGGTCCAGATTTCATTTGGTCAGAATCTATAAATTACAAAAAACCTAAAAATATAACCACAGAATTAGAATCAATTAAAACACATTGTAGTACGATAGAAGTAGAAGATGAACCATTTAATAAATTTTCTTCTTGGAGTAAGATGATTAGAGTTATAGCATACTGTAAACGGTTCATTAATAATTTAAAAAATAAAAACAATAAATCAAATAAAATTATTAAACCTTACCTTACATTGAATGAAATTAAAAACACTACATTATTTTGTATAAAACAATATCAATCAATTCATTTCAGTAAAGAATTAAATCTTATATTACATAAAAAAGACTTACCTAAAAATAGCAAAATTAAATCCTTAAATCCATTCCTTGATGATAAACATGTTTTGAGAGTAGGAGGTCGGTTAGAAAATGCACAATTAAATTACAACAGTCAGCACCCAATTATTATACCAAAAGTATCACATATTACCCAACTAATCATTGCAAACGCTCACATACAGACACTTCATGGTGGGCCTCAAATAATGACTACTTATTTACGCAGTAGTTATTGGATAATAGGTGTAAAGCAATTAGTAAAGTCATATGTCCGTCATTGTGTAATATGTATTAGGTACGCAGCCACAAGAAAAACACAGCCGTTGATGGGTCAGTTGCCTAGCGTACGGGTCAATCAAGGTAGACCTTTTAAAAGTAGTGGAGTGGATTATGCTGGTCCTATCAACATAAGAACTTCAAAGGGTCGAGGACAGCATTCCTACAAGGGATATATATGTTTATTCATTTGTATGGTCACCCGGGCCATACACATTGAAGTGGTAAGTGATTTAACATCACAAGCATTTTTGGCCGCTTTCAAGCGATTCGTGTCACGTCGAGGTCACTGCTCAGACATATGGAGTGATAACGGAACTACATTTGTTGGAGCAGCCAAGGAACTTAGAAAATTATTTTTCGGAGAAGAAGCCACAATTCCTAAGGAATTAGGTTCAAACTTCGCTGAAAATGGCACAAACTGGCATTTCATACCACCCCATGCTCCAAATTTCGGTGGGTTATGGGAAGCTGGTGTAAAATCTGTTAAACATCACCTTAAGCGAGTCATCGGAGAGTCTACTTTAACTTACGAGGAGTTGACGACTGTTCTTGTGCAAATTGAGGCATGTCTCAACTCACGACCTTTAATACAATTAACTAACCAATCTGACGAAACAGACATACTTACTCCGGGCCATTTTCTCATAGGGGAACCCATAATTAGTGTTCCAGATTATAATTTTGAAAATAGTAATATCAGTAGTTTACGTAGATGGCAACTAAGCCAAAGAATGACCCAACAATTCTGGCGACGTTGGTCACAGGAATATTTAAATTGCTTAATACAGCGTCATAAGTGGACAGCTCAAAAAGATGAGCTAAATTTTAATGATATTGTCTTAATTAAAGAGGACAATATGCCTCCATCACGATGGCTTTTAGGCCGTGTAATAGACAAACACCCTGGATCAGATGGGATCACCAGAGTAGTTTCTCTACGCACAAAAGGTGCCATTATTAAAAGGCCAACATCAAAATTATGTCTGTTGCCTAAGCAATAGCTATAGCCTTTAGTAAATAAGCAATTTTGTTGTATATTTTTAAATGTAAACATATAAGGTCAAAGGTCTTACTTTGCCCTTAGTGGGCGGTATGTTAGTGAATAAGTTTGTTTGTAACATTGTAACTAGATGTCGCTAGTTGACATCTAAAACACGCAATCAATATTGTCTATAGCAACGATTAGGCAGTTTGTATATTATGTATAAAAAAAACCCAATAAAAACCTAATTACCACTTGTCGTTTATTTATACCACAATTGAGTTCAGAGAAGTGCATTCAAATACTAAACAATGTACTAACTTATCCCGTAACGCCATAAAACATTTTTTTTATTCCCCGAAAAAAAGGCCTTTCTAATTTTCTCTCTTTCTCTCCCCCCCCCCTGCCAAAAACCTTCCACTACACCATACGGGTAAAAAAAAAAGGAATATGACATACTAGCAACCGTTCCTTTGCCATATGCAGTATTTTGACTAAATTTGAAAATTTCAAAAAAAAAAAAAAAATATATTTTTTTTTTTTATTTTTTTTTTTTTTTTTTTTTTTTTTTAATTGTGTTTTTTTCAAAAAAACCCCCCCCCAAAAACAAAAAAAACCGGAGGGGGGGGGGGGGGGGGGGGGGCAAAAAAAAAACCCCATATCATTATATTAATTTTTTGTGGGGGGTGTTGTTTGGGGGGGGAAAGAAAAAAAAAAATTTTAAAAAAAAGGGGGGGGGGGGGGAAAATTTTCCCTATATTATATTTTTTTGGGGGGGGTTTTGTAGGAGAGCCCCCCCCCTTTTTTTTTTAGGGGGGGGGAATAATCTTTGGGGGGGGGGTCCCCCGTTTCCCCCAAAAAAAAATCGGGGGGGGGGGGAAAAATGGTGGGGGTCTTCTGGAAAATTTTTTGGGAATTGTTTTTTTAAAGGAACCTGGGTTTCCGGGGGGTGCGCCCCCTTCCAAGAACAGACGCGTGGGGGGGGTTGGAAAAAAAGATTACTTATAAATCGCCCTTTTGTTTAAATCGTTAAAAGTGTGTTTCATTTACAAGACCTCTCAGCTGGAGTAGGGACAAGAAGTATTGGACTCAGAACGACTACAAATCAAGCTCATAAAGTCAAAAATAATCTATCCATGTAGGTAACAAGGTACACTTATGAATGGCATAGAACTAGAGAATCTAACTTTACCACCAGTTCTCTCATCCAGGGTGCAGAACGAACGAAAAGAACTGGCAAGAAACTCGCCGCCATTCTTTTTATCGCCAAGTTTCTTTCTACAGTCATCGCTTACTTTACACTACATATTTTTTCTTATTAGAGCGGGTTCCTCTAAACCCCAAACATTTTTATCGTTTAAATATTATTCTACTTGTACGGAGATTGGTACAGTTCATCTTCAATAAAACAAATTTATTTTGGTGTTGTGTTTTATTTGAAGTGACCTTATATTTGACACCTCATCATAAATATAATATGGACGTAATCGAATAACCAATAAATTGAAAAAAATACGACTCGTGCAGGACTTTGGACGCGCTGTTGCTCTGACCATTTGAGCTATCGAGGCCTATTGAAGAATCAAGAGTCAATAAGTCGTTTCTTTTTTTCAATTTATAAGTAAGTAAGATCGTTCTCAATCTTTTTCAGGCTAAAAAAATAATTAAAATACATTTTCAATAGATGTCTATAGACTATACCCCATAAACTTTATCTGTGTTTATTCGTACAGATATGAATAATTGCTTGTACAGATTAAAAAAATTAATAAATAATAAACTGTAATGTAACTTATTTCTTATTATGCCAACAAGTGGTATCCTTTATACATTTTTACTTGTTCATTTCTATTAATTTAATAATTTGACGAATTTGTTCATATTAAATTATTTATTGTTAGTATTGAAATCTACTTAATTACCAGATTTCAAATTTTATTATGGTAACATTGCTATTGTACAATTTGCTCGACTGAAGGACCCGTATCCATAGGTCATGAAAGAAAAAAAACATAACATAAAACATAGTGGAAAATTAATTGTTTGAAATTATTTTTAACTTTTTATTGTGCATATTTTTTTTAATTTAATTTAGTCTTTTTAGTAATCATTTTAATCGTATTCCAATCTACCACGTTAGCGGATTTAAAATTTTATTCTGGCCATGTTGCCAACCAAACATAATTCTTAATTCAAGCAACATAATAGAAAATTAATTATTGAAATTATTTTAAAATATAATAAAAAGATTTATAGTGCATAGTAATTTTTAATTAATTTAGTGTTTTCAGTAATATTTTTATTCGTATCGAAATCTACTAAGTTAGCGCATTTGAAATTTTATTATGGTCACATTGTTACCTAATTTTGTTTGCAACAGGTTGGCAAGCCCGAAAGCGCGGTTTCATTGCATTGTTCTGACGTCTGAAAGTAGCCATTTTGCATATTTCTTTTCCGATCCATCGCTTGCCGCGTTAACATTGTAATTGTTTTAATTATTTCCAGTAATTTAGCTTGATTTCTGTTGCAAAACGCTTTTTTAGAATCATATGCATTCTTTAATAATGGATTATTATTCGAAATGTAGAATAATATTTGAAATCAGTGGATTCAACGGCGCGTGGCTTGACCGGCGCCTCTTGTCATGTAAGTGCATTTTTTCATTTTTACGAAACTAGTTTTGCTTTGAATCTGCTTCCAAAGAAGTGTGTATGTGAATTTATTTTCTTATAAGATTACTTACACACATCACAACTATAATAAATGCGGTGTAACGTTATTGCATATGAAAGAAATAAGTATACTTCTAATAAGTTTCTAATCAGACGGCGAATAAGCTTTCACTATTGAAAACTTTAATATTGTTCCCATGTTACTAGACATGATGGCACTATATTAATCGATTTTATTCATAAACCTTAACTATTTAATATACATATTAATATGTAAAAAATTATAATGAAATACATTTTCTATCACAAGTTTTGCTACCAAGTTTCACGTTATCATAGATATTTAAACTCAATAAAATGATGAATTTAAAGGCTCAAACATAATTTCCATAGCTTACAGTACAACTGAGGTTGGAAGAGTGTGATGCAGCACTTGCTTAGGATATGGAGCGACTGCTGTAGACCAGGACTGTTGACATCCATTATGTCAACACAGTTGTCGTCGACAAGTGTAGATGCAGATGCAGTGTAGGTGTGTGAGAATTATTTGTATTTTCCTCATGTCTGTTAATGGAAGTTGTAAATAAATAAATTTATTAAATCTTCTAAATGGATTGATATCACTTGTAAATCCAAGAAAATGTGCCAATCATGTTTTATTTAATAGATATTTTATTTAATTAAAATACTTCATGGTACTAACGGATACCCACAAAGCAGCTTCAATGCTTGCTAAAATTAACTAAGTGTCTTGCCAACTCACTCAACATATTATGCATAACATCATGGGCTCACATGTTTTTAAATTTTTTTTAATGTGTGTAGTAGTAGTGTGTAGATAAACACTAAACTTAGCCTCTGCGAGAGACTGAAACCCAAGTGAGAATTTTGTATTATTTCAGTCTTGTCATGCAATTATTGCCAAACTTCTGGGAATTCCCTTTAGTTTATTGTCTACATGCATTATCTTTTTCTATAACTTTACCCTAAATTAAGTGTTAAATTGCTTTCTTGTTGCAGCAGGCTAAGAGCTGAAGGACTAGAACTGGTCTCCGCGTCTTTTCAGCGTCGAGTTTCCACCAGCGCCTTTGGTGTGTGGCTCTTCAACGGCAAGGAGACAAGGAGAACGCGCTTCACAGGGTGAGTTAAGCTTCAAAATCACCTATTTATTATATTGTATATGTAATGTTACAAAATATTTTGATGGGCTTGTCTAATGGTTGCGTGTGTATGGATAAATCAACGGGTCATGGCTGGTCACAAACAACTTTCCATAGATTAAAAAAGACTTAATCGCGTTTCAGTTTCAGTCTGTTGATTTCCAAATATCCAAAGCTAGAATAGATATTTTAGATGTTACATTGCTTGGTATTTCACCTCCCATCAACTGAACTACACGCACATCTGTCGTATATATTAATAAAAACCCTTAGACAACTCTGCTTTTAAAGACGAAATACTTTTCTACCATTATACAACCCAAAATCCATAAGATCATATTTATCATCAGTTACAGCGCATCCAGTCCCAGAAATTCGAAGAGTTCGCTTCTGTTGGCAGTGGTTGGTGATAAGAAATCTACCATGCAGCCAGCACTCCCCAAGAACGAAGATGAAACTCTTTAGCAACTGCTTAAGGTTTATATTATAGTTTATATATTACAGGTTTTAATAAAAACATTGTCTTATGTAAGAGTAAGCAAAATTTTACCAACCCAAAGTTATTAAAAAATCTAATCTGATACTGTCTATAGTTTACGCGAGTAGTACACATTTAAAGAAAACACTAACGGTTTAAAACGCGATATATTAGTTGAACTTATTGGAAAATGGTCTCCCCGTGACCACGGCTGCTGCAAAGCATCCGAAACGTCGGGCCGAAGTTAAAAATCATTTTCAAATAAGTTTAAGTAATATATCGCGTTTTAAACCGTTAAAGTGCTTTATTTAAATGTTGTTTTTGGTAATAATTTATATACTAAACAATACAAAAATCAGAACCTGCATTATTTGTGTGACATCCGTGTTAGTTATGGTTTGAATTGTTTAGGACTTATGGCCGGTCCCAATATTCCACTAACATTTAACTAGAAGTGACAAATTAAATTCTTGAAGTGTTGCGTTCCAATCAAATTCTCTTCTCTTTAACCTAAGATTACGAAATGGCTTACAGGCGTTAATAGCTTCTGAATATTTCTTGCGTTGCTTTTTTTATTAAACGTAAGAAAAAATGAAATTGTTTAGTGATGAAAGTGACGCTGAAATATTTGAGGTCAAGTTTATTGTTGTATATTGAAGACTATTTGTATAGTTTTTACTGTTTAGAAATAGTGGGGTTTTCGTTCTTTTTAATCGGTGTTAGATTTCATTGGAATATCCAAATCATCTGCAAGCCGTGTTACAGCTGATGTAGGTACCGCGCGTTATTACTCGAGTATATCAAAAATTTATAAAAATAATGGATAGTACCTACTCGGCAAAAATTTAATGAGGTAGCAGGTTTTCCCACAACTGTATTGAGTAGGGCTTTAGGCTATAAACATCACGCTAATTATTTTGCCTAAATTATACACTGAGTCTTCTGGCAGCTTTTCTCCCCCCCCATTTTAAGCGCAATTGCTCAGGACGGCGCACTTCAGCTGTTGCAGCACCGAATTCACTTGGGATGGACCTGCAAGCTTCCTCCTTTTACTTGTCGATCGTTGCGTTTGTAGCGTTTGCATGACTGGATACTTAGCAATTAGCGTATCTAGAAAAACACAATTTCATTTCATTTTTTTTTCGATTTTTCAACTCATTCATGTTAAATTATTATAATACTTTGTTAATACTTACAATTTTAATTGAAGCCATTTTTTATATTTCCATTCCATTTATTATATTCAGTTAGGAAGTCCTATTATTTTTTCAGTTTCAATTTACAAAAAAATATAAACACAATATTAAAATTTTACACTGACGTATAGGACCGTCGCTTTTTTTTTTTTTGACTTGGAGGAATCGACTCTTTACCGACTCCCCCCGCCTGGCCACTCAAGTGGCGGGGGGAGTGTGGGGGTCGGCCAGCTTTACCACTACCCACTAAACCTCCAAGAGCCCGGGGGAGACTTTATAGGACCGTCGCTTTGACAACATTAGACAAGCCTAAAAATCCATTTTAAGCAACGTCAGTCACTAAAAAATAAAAATGATACGAATTAGTATTATTTATGTTATTTTTAATTTAAAACATTCTTTACAAGGCTAACAAAATCGTATTCAGATTATTTGATAAATGAATAATATTAAAATATTTATTCATTCATTATTATCGCCATTTAGAAACATCATTGCTATTAGCAGAACGTGTAAAACGGGACGTTTGAGAGGGAAAGGTTACCTATGGCAGCCTCTGTATCCACATTTAATCTTCGATAGGCACGTCAAAAAAAATATTTAAACGCCAGTTACAGCTACTTTAACTACTTTACTGTTTATCAAGGATATACCATTATCCATCATTGACTGACAATACGTTATTGGGACCGGCCGTTAGTGATACACGAGAGACGCTGTTTGTTGTCCAAGTGTTTAAAAATATTGATACTTCTTCTACAATGGTGCAGGTTTTGACTGTATATATTGACTTTGGGATTTAGTTGATTAAGAAACGTACACATAAACAAAGTTGACGATAAAATTACCAATATGTTTCGACTGCCATCTTCAGCTCGTCGCACATCTAAAACAAGAACGTCCACCACGACTGCTTTCCCGTTGGTAGCCGCGCACATGCGCATGCGCAGCCCTACCACTCCCGCCGCGCTATTGCTGCTTCCGTACATCCGACGCCGCACCGAAGATCGCTACATTTAGTTTTGAAAGGCTTTTGATTTATACAATACAAATATTCTTGTAAACTCTTAGTACTCGTACTTACTGACAAGCACGCAGCATTGCTTATTTATAACATAAATAATAGAAAGACAAAAATATATAACATGCCAACTAACATAAAATGAGTGAACTACAGTGTAGGATCTTTTTAAACTTAAGTTTATAAAACTAATTTTAAGTTTGGGGTTGTCCATTAATCACCTGAGGCTTGAAAGGGGGGGGAGGGGTTTGATAAAGATCACGAAAAAAAAACACAAGGGGGGAGGGGGGGGTATAGTAAGTAGTTTATACCTGTATTTAAATTAAAATAATATTCAGAAAATTTTAAGATTCTTTGTAGGTACTAAAAATACACGTGATGTTGAGAAGGGGGAGGGGGGGGTTGTCTTAAACCTCACTACGTCTCACCAATGGGGGGAGGGGGGGTTTAAAAATTCTAAAAAAAGGTTACGTGATTAATGAACAACCACTTTGAGAGTGTTGAAAGGAAGGTTGTAACGTGGTTACTCTTCCATTGTTTAATTATAATAATAAAACACTGTTCGGCTAGTATAGGAATTGTAATTTTACGAGAAGTTAAACTAGAAGAAAAGGAAGTGAAAAGGGTCTTGCATCAGCATAATTTGCAGCTCGGTTACGTAGCGACACTGATTTTCAGTAAAACTTGCCGTTCGTCTGTTAGGCAGCGCCACATTTATCATTTAATGTCGTCTTATAGGAAACGAATGATTAAGGAGTGGACGCGAAGTATTGTAACGTTATGTTCGTATTTTACTGTTTAAGACGCGAAATGTATAATATATTTACAATTTATTTTAGCTACGGCCTAACTTTTTTTGATGTTGACGGGGGGACTGAAGATGGTGGGTGTCCCTAATGTCAAATGTCTGTCCTCGTTGGTATTTGGAGAAACTAGCCATTCATTTCTCGGAATGCCATTCTTTGAAATCTAGAGTTATTATTATAGGATTCCCGGAGAAAAGATATTTAGCGCATCCTCCCTTTTGAAATATAAATTAACATTATTTCGTAATTGTAGTTAACGACATAAATAGGGGGAAGATTTGTTTAAGTGCTGCGGAAAATGAGTCGACTACCGTAAGACTATTACCGCGTCGAAGTCGCGCCTGCGCCTTCGGTCGCCCGTTCTGCGTAGAAATCCGACCGGCGAGGCTATAGCAGCGCCGACAGCGCGCGAGGTATTGGCCTTGCTCTTGGAGTGGCAACTCTTGACGCATCCCGCGGCCAACCCGGCCCGAGTCGCCGAGGTCGAGAGCGCCTCTAGCCTGAAAGGCCTCTGGCGTCGTATACGCCGCGCTTCACGGGCGAACCGGCCACTGGCTTCGCCTCGTTGGGGTTCAAATTTTGAGTAATATCATAAACTAATATTTATGTGGATTCACCTCCCACTAGTACTAGTACCAACGACGCCATGACCCGCCTGGAAATTAAGGTTTAAAGACGTTTAAGAATTTACAATTCACTTAACGAGAAATACATTGTTTTATAAATAACTTTGGTGGGTGTGCCTCGGGCTATTTTCATATAAAACTAGGATTAGATTGTTTATTTTTAAACAAGGTTAAACTGTTTTTTTTTTGAAATCTTAACGCTGCTGCATTAATTTCTATTGTTTTTAAATCATTTTGTTTCCTCATGTGTGTTTAAAAGTGTTTCGTTTAGCTATTTGTAAGTTTGTTTTTGTAGTGCTAAATTACTTAGGAGACAAGTACAGTATTTTTTTTTATTAAGAAGCTGAGTTTTGCGATATAGTGTTTTTTTTCAAGTGAGAAAGAATAGTGAAATAAGACCTTGATAATTTTGTTTTGAGTTTCTTGTAAACTATTAATGTAGGTTTTTGAGACCGAGTCCCAGATTTCGAGTAAGTGCGATTTAACTAAATAATAATTCAATAAATAAACATGTACACTCGTAAAGAAAACTAATACTGTCATTTATTTTCGTTACTGGGATAAATGAAATATTTTACATATAGCAAGCAAAAGTAACATACCAATAACTGAATAAAACAAAAATATTAGTATTAAATTTCACAATAAACAATCACTTTTCTAACGGACTGCGCTCAAGACAGAGATAACGAAATAAACGCCAAGGAGTGACCGAGACAAACTACTGTTTACCGAACATTATCGAATATGTACGAATCTTTACGGAATAACCAAATAGAGAAGTCCATACTCGTTCCTTGAAGGTGTCGTTTAATCGATACCTGTTGAAATAGGCAAAATTGGATCGTAGAAACTTATTTGTATAAAAAGCTTTAAAGATGGTTGAAAATGTGTAAAAACAGTAATAATATAAAAATAACTCATATTTAACTAAATCACGTCGTTCAATAAAGAAAAACAAGTTTTTAGTTATTTTATTTTCCTTTAAAAGTCATCACAATATCTGATACGATTAAAAAATTCATGATTAATATTGATTAGGAAATGTAATAATATAAACGGTCGATTTTGTTGACAATGGGTCAATCTCTATCCCGCGCACCTTGCTCTTACCACCGTTAACATCCTAAGGAATATTTCTGCGCAGCGTTTCGCGCTAAGATCAGACTTGCGAAGTTACGTCGGCCGTATTATATATGTTATTAAATACGAGGGGATTGTTCAGTAAATGTTGTGGACTGATGACTCCGTCTTCAATCGGTTTTCCAATACATCATTCTTCAAATTTTTAACTCGCTTGCATCATATTGCATAGCCTACAGCGAGATGACAGACAAACTGCGAAATGCAATATGTACATTAGGGGAAGGAAATAAAACAAAAAAATCGTTGCCATGGTATATTTCACAAAAAAACACAATAAAATTACTTCTAGTGTCGGAAAGCATTGGATTACAACATATCAGAATTACAAAAATAATCAACAATTATGCAAATAACAAATCGCTATTTTTAATCTGTATTAATTCTTGTATTTACTTTTTAATAAGACAAGGGTGTGTTCGTTTGTTTCGATGTCAAATAGACGACCGACACTGGTCTTCGAGCAAAAAAAAAAAAAAAAAAAAAGGGGGGGGGGGGGGGGAAAAAAAAGGGGGGGGGGGGGGAGAGGGGGGGGGGGGGGGGGCCCCCCAAATTAAAAAGGGGGGGGGGGGGGGGGGGGGGGGGGGGGAAAAAGAAGGAAAAAGGGGGGGGAAGCCTCAACGCAGTGCAGAACAAGGCACTCCGGCGCATTACCAAAGCCCCGCGTTACGTAAGAAACGCTACCATCCACCGAGATCTCCGGCAAGACACCCTCAACGATTTCATCGTCCGGATGGCCAAGAAGATGTTCGCAAAAGCCGATTCATCGCGCACGCCTCATCTACAACATCTCGCCCCATGGCACACTAGGCCACCGGACCGAAGATACCCACTACCGCGAGACCTCCTCTCCCCTCCCGACTCCCCGCCTCTCCCTGCAGCAGCAGCAGACGGCAACAGATAGTGAATCACCACCGGATTTGACCTCGAACGCCGATCCCGCGTCTTCGTCCGCTGGTCGCCTCGCTGGGCCTCCCCCGGGGTTACCGGGGGTCTCACCCGGCGGTGCTTGACCGCGAGACGCGGGGGCGTTCACCAACCATCGACGACGACCCCAGGGACCGCCTTGTATCAGCAAGGCGCGCTAGACACCCCTTGCAGAGCCCAAATGGGCTGAACAAGGAGGTCGCGACTTTGTCGCGACCAGGAGAAACACACGGCTTCGTTTTTACATCGAGATCGTCAGCCGTAGCCTACGGACGTGTATCGGTTTATATATACATACATATATTTTTTTTTGTTAATTCTTAATCCTCGAATCGATCGATTCCGAAGATGGCTCGTACCAAGCAGACCGCTCGTAAATCCACCGGCGGTAAGGCTCCGCGGAAGCAGCTCGCGACCAAAGCGGCGCGTAAGAGTGCGCCCGCCACCGGCGGCGTGAAGAAGCCCCACCGTTACAGGCCCGGCACCGTCGCTCTCCGCGAGATCCGTCGCTACCAGAAGAGCACCGAGCTTCTCATCCGCAAGCTGCCGTTCCAGCGTCTCGTCAGAGAGATCGCGCAGGACTTCAAGACCGACCTCCGGTTCCAGAGCTCCGCAGTGATGGCCCTCCAGGAGGCGAGCGAGGCGTATCTCGTCGGTCTCTTCGAGGACACCAACCTGTGCGCTATACACGCGAAACGCGTCACCATCATGCCGAAGGATATCCAATTGGCGCGCCGAATCCGCGGCGAACGCGCCTAATCTCCGCTAACTCTCTCTCTCAACGTGAACGTAAACGTAAATTAACGGATGAAAAAGGCCCTTTTCAGGGCCGCAACTCTTTCTTTCACTCTCTAAGCAAACAACACCAACAGATTAATTTAAAGATGTTCTCTAACTAAACGATACGTGATAACGAACATGACAATGAATTTTTATCTATCTCAATCAATCAATCAATCGATTATACAATTACATTACACGTTATTAATATGATGATGCTAAATCGTTAAAATATAACTTACAACTCAAACTCAAACTCAAACCTCAAACTCACTCGATCAGGCAGTGCAGAGTGTGTTATTTTTGTTGTTGTAGTTATTATTATTATTATTATTATTTTTTTTTTTTTCCCGTATTGTGTTCCTATGGAGCCACGAGTATGTACTTAAAGTGAAATAATAGAATAGAATAGTGAGCAGTACCCTTCCCCGTGGCCCGCGACAACAACCCCCCCCCCCCACACACACACACACACACGTCCCACAACTCCAGCTCTCTCTCACACGAGGAGTGTTAGACGGAGACCCCGTGCGAGTCTATAAAAAGGTGCTGATGAAAAATTCTTATAATACGATTCGAGCGGTCGCACGGGCAGCACGCTAGCGCGCAGCAGTCTGTTATTATTTGATTCGATTCGTCCATTCGACCAGCGAGATGACCGGACGCGGTAAGGGAGGCAAAGGTCTCGGAAAAGGTGGCGCCAAGCGTCACAGGAAGGTGCTCCGTGACAACATCCAGGGTATCACGAAGCCGGCGATACGTCGTCTCGCGCGCAGAGGCGGCGTGAAACGTATATCAGGTCTGATATACGAGGAGACCCGCGGTGTACTCAAGGTGTTCCTCGAGAACGTGATTCGCGACGCGGTCACGTACACCGAGCACGCCAAGAGGAAGACCGTCACCGCCATGGACGTCGTCTACGCTCTGAAGAGGCAGGGTCGCACCCTATACGGTTTCGGCGGTTAAGAAGTTGTTAACCGATACAGAGCAGACGACTAGTGCTACTACTACCTACTACAACAAAAAGGCCCTTTTCAGGGCCGCATATGATTCCGATGCGCTTATATTTTGCTATACTAGTTTCGCATAACGAACGATAACGTCATACATACATACATAGAATATAAATTACAATGAACAATAGAATACGGACTTTACTACTATTATACAAACACTTATACGATATACGAGTATTTAGATACGTACTTAAGAGATTGAGAGTATGTGCAGTATGCAAAATATGTAGTATGTATGAATTGTAATGATTGTATTAGATTATATTTGTCTTGTGTAGTGTATCGATCAAATTATATACATATTATAGATAGACAGACATTCGAGAGAGAGAGAGAGTGTGTGTTGTACTTAATAATAAACGATTTTTTTTTTTTTTTTTAATACAACAACGCGGAGGATAAGGAATAGGAGCGCGCGCGTAGCGCGAGCTAACCATGGTCGTTACGTCGATTTATTATTGCCTATAGCTATTAATTGTGACTGGAGGGAGATGTGTGTATTAATGATTACACTATTGTTTTCATTTTCAAAATTTATTAAGTATATAGAGCAATTGCAGTCGATATAGAAAATAAATAGGCTACGTTTCTCGAGAGTCGAGTGCTCTCGGTGGCGCGAGAGGAGCTCACTTCGCTCGCCCGCCCGTCGTTGTGTTTTACAACGCGTCACGTTCGGACCGATAAAAAGTATCGTAAATCGATCGTATCTATGCGACGAATAGACTTCGCGCAACATGTGGATCTTGGCGTTCAACGGGGACGACAATTTCAACGATTCGCGTTCGATTCGATGCGAAAAATTATATTTTAAAGTGGACATCGCGCGCGCGTCACCGCATCGGTAATATTCGAACGTCTCTCACGCGGCAATCGGGCGGCGGCTACGCGAAAGGCGATCGCCGTTCGATGCCGTCACTCATACGGATCGGCGGCGATGCATATACGGGTGGAAAAGTATGTCGCGCATATTAAAAAATTCGATTAATACGAGACGTGTTAGTGAAAAGTTTCAACTTTGAATACGTGAAAACACATCTAGCCGGTGAACTTCTCGTCGCGGTATTGATTCGCGTCCACAGTGAGCACACTAGCGCCACGGCGACGACGCTACCGAGAGAGAGAAGATATTATCTCGAGTTATATTATTGTTAATAATAATAAATAAATAAATAAATAAAATGGCAGACACAGCGGTCGCATCCGAAGCTCCGGCACCCGCAACCCCGGCGAAGAAGACGCCAAAGGCGGCGGCGGCCGCCGCAGCAGCCGCCAAGAAGCCCAAATCGAAGCCGACCCACCCGAAGACCTCCGACATGGTGAACACCGCCATCAGGGAGCTGAAAGAGCGCAGCGGATCGTCGCTGCAGGCGATCAAGAAGTACGTCGCGACCAACTATAGCGTCGACGCTGAGCGGCTCGCGCCGCTGATCAGAAAGTACTTGAAGCGCGCCGTCGCCGCGGGCACTCTCATTCAGACTAAGGGCAAGGGAGCCTCCGGATCTTTCAAGATCGATTCGAAGTCATCGGGCGGTGGTGGCGGCGGCGCCGCTAAGAAGCCGGCGGCATCGGCCGCGTCCGGCAAGGGTGCCGCCGCTTCGAAAACATCGAAGAAGAGCGCCGGCGGCGCTCCGGCGAGAAAGACGGCGGCCAACGCCGGCGCTAGGACAAAGAAGGCGGCGGCCGCGGCCGCCGCCGCCGCTTCCGCCGCCGAGTCGTCGTCGCCATCGAAGAGCGGCAGGGGCGCGGCCAACAGTTCCGGCAATCGTCGCACAACTGCCACCGCTCTATAGCGTGTGTGCGATGCGGCGAACCCCACCGAGCTGCCGACTGCCCGCGGCCCAAGGCGGAGCCTGCCACGTGCGCCAATTGTCGGGGCCCACACCCGGCAAACCACTCGACGTGTCCGGTGCGTAAGACGGAGGCGCTAAACAAACGCGCCGGCACCGCCGCCCGCACTGGCCAATCGCGTCTCACTACGCGTGCCGCCACAACTACACAAACTGCGCCGCGCCGCGTCCTTCGCCGAGCGCCGCGCCTGCTGTCGCCACCGCGGCCCCTGCCGTCACAGCAACATCCCGCCGTGTCGGCGGAAGAGGAGGAGGCAAGGGTTGCCACAAGAAAGTGTCTCTTGCGGCCGCGAGCCGCAGGGGCACCGCCGCTCCTTCTGGCGCCACTACCACCGCCGCCACTGCAGCTGCCACCACTACCACAGGCGCGGCCACCTGCGCCGCTGAGCGGTGCGCCGCTTCGTGCACCGAGCCGCGCACTGCCCAGCCAACTGCGGCTCCCGACTTCAACCGAGCCATCGCCGCGATCCTGCACATTCTGCAGGCCGGCAGTGACCCCGCGCCGCTCTTCGAGCGTCCTGCGCGGGATCTCCGCAACAGCAGCGCCCCAGCCCGAGACCCGCGCCGATAATGGGGAGCCTCCGGCTCCTATACTGGAACGTGCGCGGTCTCAAGGGCAAGACCGCATTCCTGCGACAGCTTTTATCGTCGCAGGACATCGACATCGCGCTGCTCAACGAAACGTTGCTCCTGCCGGGACAGCGGTGTATCGTCCCCGGCTACTTCATATACCGCCAGGACCATGTGTCGCCGGCTGGCGTGGTCTATCGTGGCCTGGCGGTCCTTGTCCGCCGCCGCCTCCCGCATCGCCTCTTGCCTGCGTAGAGGTCGAGTTCGCCGGTCGCCCCACAGGGGTGTTCGCCGTATACGCGCCGCCGCAAAATCCGCTGCGCACTGCGGATGTTCGGCGCTCACTTTCCCGCGCCGTGGAAGGAGGCGCGGGTCATAACAATACCGAAGCCGCGCACCGCATTCCACCACCAACCCGGCGCGCGTCACCGAGGTGGAACGCACAGTCGCCGAATACGTCACCCCACCCATCGCGCCGTCGGAGGGCGCAATCTATTTCTCGCCGGCGCTGGTGCGCAAGGCGACGTCAAGACTGAAACCGAAGAAGGTCCCCAGAGCAGACGGCATCACTAACGCCGCCTGCCGCCACGCACACTAGTGGCACTGACGCGCCTATTCAATGGCATCCTGCGGACCTCACACTTCCCCGCGCCATGGAAGGAGGCGCGGGTGATAACGATTTTAAAGCCGGGGAAGGACGTACTCAAGGCGGCGAGCTATAGTCCGATCTCGCTGCTTTCCTCACAGCAACCTCCTCCCCGCCTGACTAGAGGAAAGGCGGATAGCTGCGAACGCCGCCAAGACACAGGCTATCGTGTTCGGGGCGGGCAAGCTGCCCCCAGTTCTTCGCTTCCTCGATACTGACATCCTGTGGCGCCCGCAGGTTAAGTACCTGGGCGTCACGCTCGACCGCCGGCTGTCGCTGAGAAAGCACGCGATCGGCGCCGCAGGACGCGCCTCAGCCGCCACCGCCAAGCTGCGGCCACTCCTCGAGTCCCGATTGCCGACGCGTGCCAAGCTCGCGCTGTACCGGCAATACATCCGGCCCCACCTCACGTACGCGGCGCCCGCCTGGTACGGCCTCACGTCCGAATCTTCCCGGCAACGCCTGAGAGCCGTACAGAATAAAGCACTCCGACGCATCGTGCTACGTGAGAAACGCGACCATCGCCCGGGACCTCCGTCAGGAGAGCCTCGACGACTACATCCGAAGACTGGCGACGCAGATGTTCGCCCGTGCCGACGCTTCGCGCACCTCCGCGACATCGCGCCGCACCACACGAGGCCTCCCGACCACCGACGGGCGTTCCCACGCGAGCTCGTTCGCCAGGGGCCGCCACCGGACTGACTCCAAAACACCCTGGGGCGCGGCGCAATACGCACGCGTTTCAATGGCGATCATCCGCTGGCTATGTCTCGCTGGGCCTCCCTCGGGGCTACCGGGGGTCTCACCTGGCGGGACTGTGCCGCGCGCCTTGAAACGCGTTGCCCCCCCGCGCCCCAAAACCACCGATAACGACACCATATCTGCCCTGGCAGACCCGACGATCGGCCCGTATTAACGGGCCGCACACACGACACCCCCCGCAAGCACTGGAGTGCGAAACGGGATCCCGACGGCCGCTTGCGCGGCCGGCGGAAGAAGAACTCACTGACCGAAGGCGGCCCCCAACCGAGGAGTATCCGGTCGCCATGGACCTTAGAATCCTCTATTGGAATGCCAACGGCCTTAGGAGGAAGGTGGCGTTCTTAACAACGCAATTAAAGCTACATAACATCGACGTAGCCTTAATTAACGAAACCCACCTACGCACTGGCGACCGGTTATACGTACCGGGTTACGTCACGTATAGACAGGACCATGTCTCGCCGCTGGGCGCGGCCAATGGCGGCCGAGCCGTGCTCATCCGAAGGAGCATTGTCCACCGACGTACCCCGGACCAGGAGCTTACGTTCGTGCATGCGACGGGAATCGAACTGGAGTTCGATGGCCAGCCAATTGCAATGTACGCCGTCTACTCACCGCCGGACGCTTCAGCCCCAGCGATTGGAATGCCAAGGACGAGTCCTGGAACCCCGCATGCGCGAACCGAAGAGGCCGCCTTCTCTACGCCGATGCCGAGCAGCACGGCTATATGATCGCGGCGCCGGACGTTCCTACACATTATCCCGCTACCGATTCCTCCAACCACCATTGACCTACTCCTTCATCGTGGCATCCATTGCCATTTGACCCTAGATGTCATCATGGACGAGTACCTGTCTGATCACCTCCCAGTCATCAGTACGTTGAGTTCCCCTAACCCCCCGCCTCCCCGCTCCCCGCGAGAGACGTTGTATCGATTGGCCTTTCTTTCGCTCGCAGTTCTCAGTTCTCGCCGCATCCCGCGGAAAATCCGGCCCGTGTCACCGAGCGGGAGCGCGCTGTCGCCGCGCCCGAGGAGGACGCTATCTTCTTCTCGCTGGCGGTGGTGCGGACAACTGCGCAGCGCCTCAAACCGAGAAAGGCTTCCGCCACCTGCCGCCGCGCGCGTTAGTTTGACTAACGCGCCTTTACATACTGAAGCTGGGGAAGAATGTCCTAAGAGCGGCGAGCTATCGTCCAACCTCCCTGCTGTACACGCAGTCCAAATTGTTCGAGTCGCTCCTGCTGCCGGTGATCAATCGATGCGCTGAGCCTCGGCCCGAACAGTTCGGATTTCGCCCCGGCCTCTCCACGACCCTGCAGCTGGCGAGGGTGCTGCGACCGCGGCGAACAAGGAGATGTTCGCAGCGGTCTTCCTGGACATGGAGATGGCCTTCGACCGGATCTCGCACGCAAGCCGTGTCGAGGCTAATACAGTTCAGCTTCCCTCGCCGAAAAATCCGACGCCGCTCCGACCGTTCGCAACGCCGCCTGCGCTCCCACAGCACCACCCTCCGCCAAGTACTCGTTTTTTTCACGTGCCGCTTGGGTGAATTGGCAAAAACAACACTCTTTGACATAATATGGTATTTGTTATAAATATTAAAATAATTCTATCGCAATAGGTATATTCAGTAATGGTAGATAAATAAAGTTTATAAACAATAAATAAATTAAATAAATAAAATTAATATACATATTCAACTTAAATTTTGACAATTTATATTAGTTTAATGAAATCTTTAGTAACTTCGACGTGCGGCAGCAGACTGAAAAACAGCTCAGTGAGATTGAACCACCGAAAATCAGTGTTGCAACAAGTGTGTTTGTAACATTATGCTGAGTGGCTCCTGTTTTGGGAGTCGGCCTAGTGATTTTCTTTGAAGCCTTCTATATTTTATATAATCTGTATAAGTTTAGTTATTAAGTTAATCTTAGTTCTTATTTTTCATTTTTGTGAGCAACTTTTAAATAAATCATTTTTATTATTATGCTGAATTTTAGTTCTATAACTTTAGCTTTTCGTGTCTTTATTTATGTGGTAATAAACAGAATCTTCTTTCTTTTTCTATGAACAAACAATTAATAACGCATTAAAAAAGTTTAAAACGTATGTGTAAACTGCTTTTTAAATATAAAGCGCAACAAGACTCGATATAGCTCAGTTGTGAAGGGGTCAGTGTCGCTCGTCTTACATTTGTTAACTTGCAGTTTCTAAAGAATATAAAAGACATCGTCAGCGTTCCGTGCTCTAGCCAAGTCCCGCCCGAGTCGAAATTTTTTTTTTAATTTATTTTCCTAAGTAGTAGTGGCATTTTTATAAAAGTTTTGTTATTGTTCCTTGTGAGTGCTTTTAGATAAGTATACAGAGTGAAAATACACAAAGACGGCATTTTAATTGTCAAAAGTAACCGTACAAATTATCTATATTATGATTTAAAAAATATTATTAATTCTCGTTTCATATTTTTAATAGTAAACAAACACACATACAAGTATATAATTCGTTGCGCGCGTAGTATGAGGTCGTAGTTGTGTATTTCCACATTTATTTTGTACAAAAAATCTAATAATCTTCGAAAATATGGCTCGCCATAAGTTTTTCATTTGTTCTTCCTTCTTATATTATAATTTCATATTAAATTTTCAACCCAATATCAATATTCACACTAACTTATTATTTATTGTTAATGGATGAACCAAACTCGATACTAGCAGATCAATAAACTTAAAACCTCGTGAGCTGGTAAGTCTTTTCTGCAGTTCCTGAAGATGGATAGTCTTCGTCATCTGTTCTTTAAAGACGGACAGCTGCATGGGCGACTCTTTCACCTCCCGCTGCCATCGGCAAGACTGGATGCACTGAAATTGATGATGGCACAAATTTAAAGAATTGTCACAAAACATAGAAGATACTAAATATATAGGAGATAAGTTCAGATCAGCGACATCATCCACGAAGAATATATAACGTGGGCGTCCAAATTTGTTTTTGCAGACCACTACGTCGTTCGCATCCCGTCGTTCTTGCAAGTTAATCTTAATAGATAGACATGTAGCGCCGTGGACTTTTTAATGCTAACCAACACAAAAATCATCTTTCAATTTGAACCAGTACTTCCTGAGATAAGCGCGATCAAATAAACAAACATACAAACTCTTAAGCTTTACACAATTAGTATATTTTTTAATTAATTATTAACCAACTAAAAATTATTTTGCTAACACGTTCTCCGTCGCGAAATTTTCAAAATTACTAGTAAAAAATGCGGTTCTGTTTAAAAAAGGCATTTTTTTATTTCTATTAAAAGGTATGTTTGAAAACATTAATATTTTTCACATGTTATAGCACATGAAGGCACTATGTGTATAATTTATAAATCAAAGATAAATTGAAAAAAATTTCGACTCGGGCAAGACTTGAACCGGCATCGTCAGCTTTCCGTGCTGTTGCTCTGTGCGGAAAGCTGACGATGCCGGTTCAAGTCCTGCCCGAGTCTAAAATTTTTTCAATTTATTTTCGATTTTTAAAAAAATATATATAAAAAAAAACAGCGTCGGGGCAGCATTGACCGACGCGGCCAGTTTATCGAAAAAAAAATCGTCACTCCGAAAGAGGCTGCGCGGGTCGCAGTCGGGTCCGCTCGCGTCGCGTCGCGTTGCATTGCTTTAGTTTTCTATTCTATATGGCAAACTTTAGAAAATAATTATTGAAGAAATTTAGGCAAAGCCTGCATTAACCAGAGTGCCTTCAGGATGGACAAGAAGGCACCGCGCTTTATTAAATTCGGAAGACATTTCTTCGATAGAGCGTCGTTCCTATGTAATGGCTAGAAAAAGAACTAAAAAAATGCCTACTCTTTGTAACAATTGCATATTTAATCTTATTTTTACATACTAAACACTACCATAGTGAAAATAATGTCATATTCCCTGTCGATTATGTTTTAGTTGTAAAATCCTCGTAAAACGCGGCCTAAATACAAGTTCTTGATGTCAACCAGCAGTGACCGACACAATGTGAATAGGAAAATGTCAAACCTCTAAGAAATTTTTCTGCCATCTTATACGCCATTCAATTAGTACGACATAATGTTATCGATCTCTTGGAATATACGGATTCTACTGTAATTATATATTTTGTCTCACCCCGTGAAGCGAGTGCCCGCGGCGAGGTCTGCCCACCTCGTGTCTTCACTGTCACCGCGTTGTTGGTGGCGGACTCGGAGACCGGCTAAAGTCCACGTTCAATCTCGGCCTATAGCAGTGGAAAAAAGCGATTTAGCAATAAATTCCAGGCGAATAGTTAGAAAAAGTAAAGGAAAAGAAAATGTCGAAAAATGGTTCTTCATAACTCGGTGATTATGGCCTGACAAGACTAAAATTTCTCTTATCCTCACCTGGATGCTGTCTCTACTGCAGTATTGTCCCAACCTTAACCACTTTCAAAGACTTTGCGGTCGCGCATTTTGTAAGATTCTGAAAAAAAAGTTCAATATCTTCTTAGAATTTAAATAAAACACTTTAACGGTTTAAAACGCGATATATTAGTTAAACTTATTTGGAAATTATTTTTAACTTCGGCCCGACGTTTCGGATGCTGTATTTAAATATGTACTACTCGCGTAAACTATAGACAGTATCTTCTTACAAATTATTTAAAAATCTAAATGATTATAACATAAAACAAACAAAACATTTGGACATGTGCACGTATTTAATGAAATAAATTTGAGACCGCAGAACGGCAGTCACACAATAGAAGAAGTTCAACTTAAAAAATCAAATAAAAAATAATTTATTTTGCATAATAATGACACCCATTTTTGTCACAGCATCTTGTAAAATTAAAGTAAACTCTACATGATAGCAATGCCCCGAGACAGAAATAAATCACAGCACCACCTAAGTTAACCACACAATAAAAAAAAATTACCTCTATATGGAAGACAGCTGTGTCGACATCTTCTGTCAATATTACCCCCTCATTTGCAGCAGCGGCTGCTGTACACCAAGCAATGCCGCTTCACACTTTTCTACCAGGACCATGTCTTCACTTCTTAATCTTAGCCCTAAATGAGTAAAAAGGATATTATGTATTGCTCAAAAAAAAGTATTAAAAAATAACAATTTTAGAAACACTTCAATCGCATTAGACAATGAACCCATGCTCCATTGACTATTAACAGTACATTTTACCGTAGGCTTAGTTGGTCCTAAGTTGAACTGCTCCGGCATGATCATCAATGAGCCCTTTCTCAGCTCCTACAGCTGCATCCAGGTTGTTAATTGGATGTTATTTGCTTCAGCTGAGAACATGCATATGAAAGGTATGAATAAGTTAATAAATAAAATAAAATGCAGGTATTCCAATGATAAATCAATAATGGAGACAGGACTAGAACAGGTTTTATTCTAAATTCCCTATACAAGTTTATTCAAAGTTGAAGTAATATTCCCTGTGAGTGTCGAGGCTTCTAAGAAAAATATGTTGTAATCAAAGAGTTGATGCTGACAATAATATTTATGACCTAGCTAAATTGATATTTGATAAATCAACAACCTTCGCTTGGAAAATCTGGGCAGTTATGTGTACTGATGACCCAGCATTCTTTAGCATCCCTGTTAGAAAATTATATAAAGATACTCCTATTAGAAAATTTGTAAGGAGACTTATTAGAAAACCATGTGACTACCTACTAATAGCATCTGTAAGGACTGAAAAAAACTGAAATCTGTGTATAGGGCACTATGAAATACTGACTAAGTATTCTTTTATCATGCAAATACATTTTAAGATTCTTAACCATAGCGGTACTCAGAAGACGCATCTGCCACCCTGGATTTGACACTCCCCCCTAATCTTTACACCAACACAGAGTAAACCAAATCCATCATCTAACAATTCTATTACTATCTTCATCTCTGGCTATGTTTATGATTCTACCTACGTTACATCTGGGTAGATAGTAAGTGTTCTGCATAAAAACTGTTGTAGCTTTGATAAAACTTGACATCGCCGAATCACGTATTAAAACGAGTCAATTAACCGACATATAGTCAACAGTAGTATATAAGCAGAAGTTTTTAACTATTTTTTAGTTTATTACCAATATTAAGGTGAAACTAGATAGGAAAACTTGTATTAAGTTCAGGCTATGTCAAAATTATTAAGTTTCATTTATGAGAGTTATACATTCCCGATAGCGTCCTTCCTTTTACGGAGACGATATGGCGTTACATGGCATTTATAGACTTTAGTACCGACTATGTCAAAAACACAAAATGTGTAATACTACTCTTAGAAGACACATACTCACATAAAATAATAACAAATGCACTTACATGACTAAGGGCGCCGGGGAAACCACGTGCCTTTGAAGCCGCTGAATTTAGCTTTTCTTATAAAAACCGAATAATATTCCATAATTATTACGTACACGTGATTCTTAAAATGCGTTTTCCAACATTAATCGAGCAATATTACAAAATTTGCAAAATATAATGTAAATACGATGTTCGCGCGGCAAGCACAGGATCGGAAAAGAAATAAGCAAAATGGCTTCTTTTTGACGTTAGAACCAAGCAATGAAACCGCCTTTTCAGGCTTGCCAACATGTTGCAACTTATAATTTGGTAACAATGTGACCATTATCAAATTTTAAATCCGCTAATTTAGGTGATATTAATCCTAACAAAAAATAAAAATATAACTAAAAATACTAAATTAAATTAAATACATTTCTTAAAAATAAAAATACATAATAAGAAATTGTTGTTCACTTGCTTAATTAATTCAAACAAAATTTGGCAAAATACTTTTAATTACGTTGCTTAATTTAAGTGACATGAATTGTATCTCCTTAGATCGAGAATAGACAATAGACTTATACGTCATATCAATTTTTACAGACTAAATATAACAAATTAACTTACAGACTAAACATATCGCCCCCCAAGGACCACCTAGGGTCCTTCAGTAGTTACATTCTAATGATTATTTACCCAATACCTATTTTAACAAACAAAATTTGTAACTTAACATATGATCTCTCTATCCTAGTCTTTACTAAATTTATCTTTATGTTTGGTACAAAAAAAAAAACTTAATTAATTATCATCCAAGGGCAGAGGACATAGCTTTGTAACTGCTCTTTTAATAATAGTACCACCTCTTGTTTTCAACGATGCTACTCTTACTATTCCATCGGACCCTGGATGGATATGGACAATTCTACCCAAAAGCCATTTACAGGGAGGTAAGCGATCATCTTTGATTAAACAAATTGTATCTAAACTAATGTTTCTTTCTTTTGTTGACCACTTATGTCTTTGCTGTAAAGTAGTTAGGTATTCTGATTGCCATCTACGCCAAATACTTTGAACAATTTTTTGAATGGTTTGCCATCTATCCAGATAATGAGTTTTTACATCTTGTAAAGTTTCCTCGGGCACATGCAAAAGAGGTTCCCCAACAAGAAAATGACCTGGGGTTAAAGGAGAATCATCAATAGATGAACTAATTAACGTTAGTGGACGAGAATTAACACAAGCTTCAACTTGAGTAAGTAAAGTACAGTATTCCTCGAAAGTTAGACACGTTTGACCAATAGTCCGAGTGAGATGACCTTTAATGGACTTCACTCCTGCCTCCCAGAGCCCTCCAAAATGTGGACTTCCTGCAGGGATGAAATGCCACGTTGTATTAGAGTTAGCTAACAGTTCAGCAATCTCTTCAGTTACTTTAGATTTAGAGTTTTTGAAAGCAAGATTTAGTTCACGTGAGGCACCTACAAAATTTGTACCACAGTCACTCCACAGATCTTGGCAGTAACCTCTACGAGCTGTGAATCTTCTAAATGAGGCAATAAAAGCTGAAGCTGTTAAGTCACTGACTAACTCCAAATGAATGGCTTTTGTTACAGTACATACAAATAAACAGATATATGCTTTGCAAGTTCTATTACACTTCCCTGGATATAATTTAAGAGTCACTGGTCCAGCATAATCTACACCACTTGTACGAAAGGCACGAGCAGGATTAACTCTGAACTGCGGTAAATTTCCCATAAATGGAGTAACAGATATGGCTCTTTGTTTATAGCATGAAATACACTGATTAATTACTTTTTTGACTAAATTCTTACAAGAAATTATCCAGAATTTTTGTCTAACTAAATTCAACGTTAACTGAATTCCTCCATGTAGTGAATTTAAATGTGCATTAATTACAATGAGTTTAGCCAAGTTACATTCATTAGATAATATGATTGGATATTTCATATCTGAAGAAATATTTGCATTTTTCAATCTGCCACTTAGTCTTAAAATATTTTCTGAATCTAATATTAGACATAGACTATGAAGTTTATTAGATTTTGGTATACATTTTTGTTTTAACAATAATGAAATTTCAACTGAAAAATGAAATTGCTGTGAAAGTTTGATACAAATCTTTGAGGCAGTTTTAAGTTCATCATTAGTCAAATATTTACAAGTTATTGTTTTTTTACATAAATTAATAAATCTTTGACAATATGCTACAACACGAATCAATTTTGTTAAACTTGAATATTTACTTAGTATTGAATTACAATCAACATTAGGCACTACATTAATTTTATGACAAACAATTGGCTTTAACTCTAAGTATGTATCCGGTGAAACAAAATGTTTGAATTGTGATTTATTATTTTTGTATAATAATTCTGGACCAGTCCACCACAACTTGTGATTAATTAAATCAGCTGGATCAAGCCCACGCGAAGCACAGTCAGCGGGGTTATCAGAAGAGTTAATGTGATACCAATGTTCACTATTATACAAGTTAAGAATTTCTGACGTTCTATTAGCAATGAAAGTTTTCCATGAATTTGGATTTTTTTGTAACCATGAAAGTACAATAGTGGAGTCCGTCCACGCATACACATTATTATTCTTAATTTTTAAATTAATTTGAACATTATGCAATAAATTTGCTAATAATACAGCACCGCACAACTCTAGCCTTGGCACTGAAATTTGTTTTACTGGAGCAACTTTTGTTTTTGCCATAACTAAATGAGTTTTAACTTCATATGCATTAATAACTCTAATGTAAATGACAGCAGCATACGCGTCACAAGATGCATCACTGAAGCCATGTAATTCTACTTTAGTATTAGATTTCGAAGTATCAAGCCAGCGAGGTAAGTAAAAACTATTATATTGTGCTATACTATTAACAATCTTATACCACTCACGTTTTAAGTTATCATTTAAAGAATCGTCCCAACCTAGACCTGTTAACCATAACTTTTGCATAAATATTTTAAAAACAATTACAATAGGAGCTAGAAAACCCATTGGATCAAAAATTTTGCAGATTGCAGATAAAACTTTTCTTTTAGAAATGATATTACAACTAGTGAAATCATAAATGTCAAAGCTAAGTTTAAATTTATCGTTTGTAGGATCCCATTTGATTCCTAAAGCTTTAATTGAATGGTCTAGTGTAATATTTACAGGTTTATTTTTACTGGAAACTTTTAAATGATCAGAAATATTACTAAGTACTAATTCACTATTGGAAGACCATTTATGCAAAGGAAAACCTCCACTTAAAAGGATACAAGTAAGTTGCTGTTGTAACTGGATTGCATCTTTTTCTGTATCTGCACCCGTAAGAAGATCATCAACGAATACATCGGTTTTCAGGAGTGGAGCTGCTTCAGGGTAAGCATGTGATTCATCAACACTGAGCTGGTGTAAAGTTTTTATAGCAAGATATGGAGCACATGAAGTACCATAGGTAACAGTTAATAATCTATATTCTTTAATAGGTTCATCAGGCCTCTCCCTCCATAATATTCTTTGGTAATCTGCATCAGACTTATTACACCAAATACAGCGATACATTTTTTGAATATCAGCAACTAAGCAGTATTTGTGTTGACGCCATCTTGTAATTAGATCTCTAATATCTTGTTGCAAAGGCGGACCAATAAGCAGTTCATCATTCAATGAGGTACCATCTGGTGGTTTTGCAGTACCATCAAAGACTACTCGTAGCTTTGTACTAACACTAGCTTCTCGAATAACTGCATGATGAGGTAAGTAATACTTATCTTTTTTATTTACTTCTTTTTCAGGTACAAGTTCCATGTGACCATCAGTTAAGTATTGTTTCATAAATTTATTATAGTCTTCTTTAAATTTTGAATTTCTTTTGAATTTGTTTTCAACTTGCAGTAGCCGTT